CTTTATTTCATTTTGTTTTTAAGTTAAATGAATTTTTAAATCATATTAGTATTAGTCAAGATCTTTACATGGGACAAGCATTTGATGATGTACATGCTGTTTATTGTTATTTTGGGTCGGGTATTATTTTATCAGGAGTATGTATTCAAGAATTTGAAATTCTAGAAAATATTTTTTGTTTTTATTTGAAAAATTTCGTTTGGTATCGAGAAAATTGAGAATGAAGTAAAAGAATTCTTTTTTTTCTTCGAATAGAAATGAAGTTATCGATAGTAAGCGTTATCAGATTTCATCTGTTGATTTTCTAGTTATATGATATAGTAAGAACATATTGTTGACTTTTCTTTTGTCTATTGAGACAAATCTCACAAAAATAAAAAGAAGCCGTTTTATAGTTTCTGTTCTACAGATTATATTTGTTCATATAAGATAAATATTAGACAAAAGTCATTGTTTGCAAGTGGATATAGTAAAACTTATGCCTTTTTTTTTTAACTAAAGAAAGAGAAAATTATATGAACGATTTGGTTGTCAATCGAAATAAGCAAACAAAATATATATTTGTAGACTGTACTTCGCAAAATACTTGATGAACTTGATTGGTGTACAAATAATGCTTATTCACAAGATTTAACTGATAATATTGGACGGTGTATTTTAAAAGCAGCTAAATTACCTTGTACTAATACAGCCAGTGTAAGTCTCGTTTTGTTTTTTTTTTACTGATGCATTTAAATTTAAACTTCAAATGAAAATTTTTTCTAGAATTATAAATTTACAGCTTATGTTAATTATCGATTCGAATATGATACAGATATTGATAGATTATCTAAAAGTGAAGATTTTAATCAAACATTAACAGTTCATCCAATAAATGATCTTGAAACAATGCTTAAACTTCAAAAGTATAATCAAATTTTTTTAAATACTTTTCATCTTAATTTTTCTACTCACAAAAAAAATTATTTAATTAAGATATTTTAATCAAGTTGAAATTGATGAAATGACAAAAAGTATATCCAAATATGAAGAAACAATTGAAGAACTATCATGTTATGCACCTGAAGGTTGTGGAAATATTCCATGGCCAGTTGGTGTACCACCATCATTTAAACCACCAACACGATTTGATGTACTTCGTTGGGATTTTTTTAATGAAACACATATCTATTTAAAAACAGATAATGATGTAATCAATCCAATGGATGGTATATTTTCTTGTTTCTTAAATAGAAGAAAACAAACTAAATTTACACTTTTTGTTTTTTTCAAGATGGTGATTATGAAGATGTACATGAAGTTATTGATCATGCTATCGAACAATTACAAAATAAATATGGAATTCAGTATGCTTAATTATAAATATATTGTAAATGAATATGAATGTTTTTTTTTTCGTTCTTTTTAAAATAGATTAAAATTGAAAAAATTAATTAATGGTTACCGTCAATTTGATCCAACACGAGGTACACATTATATTATGGATTTGTCACTTATTGATAAAAATCAAATAGAATATATTAAACGTGTAGAATTAATGCGACCATTGGGTAAGTTAAATATATTTTAAATATTTACTGCACATTTCAATTTCATATTAGGAAAATTCAATACTCCTATGTTTATTACACAGTCTACACAAGTAGTTAGAAAATCTATCTTACTGATTATTATAAAAGAAATAATGAACTTGAATATAGTTTTATTACTAAAGGGATGCAGGAGAATCCACATTCAGTCATATAGAGAAAATTTTCATTTTTTACAGCAAAAATCGTTTTATTAATCGAAAAAAAAATACATCATAGAATTGAAACAAAATATGCTCATATTAGAAAATGAAAAATGCATAAACATTGAACTTGAAGTGTTTAATACAATATATTCATCTATTAGATGAAAAAAAACCCGATTGTATATACTACTTAGCACAAAATCTCAACTGTTAATGATTCAATTTTACACTTTTGTCATATATTATTATCAACCTTCTAATTGGAAAACAGATCCGAAAAATATTTAAAAACTCACATGAATAACAATAAGCTATTTTCTATTTGTATAAAGCTTTCAATATAAATGTGCTCAAGATTTCATTAGTTACAGAGGTATTCGCAAGGCAGGGTGATCAACCCTGGCCTACTGTCGAGCAGGACAGGATCAAATCTTTATACTCTACAAATATGAACATCAAATTTTCAAGTTTTTATTATCAAAAAGAGTGTTTTTTGGAATTTTGCATGTCAAAAATCAAAAACAGACCATAGATGGTCATACTAAATGATATTCCGAGTTTTTATCTATAGATGCAAATTTGAATGAAAATGGTAGAAAAATAAATAAATAAAATGACCATCGAAAAACTGTATTTGTATTTCTTATATCTATTGCTAATCTTAATGATACATCGAATTCTTATACTCCTGAATAATTAAAGCAATTCTTGTTGGAAAAAGATTAAAGATTTCATCCTTGAAAATAGTGATTCAACAAATGCATCAATACATTGAAGACGTACCTTTGAATTGTGCAATATTTTAAGCTTACGACGGCTCCAACTGAAAAGTTCAGATCAAAGGAGCTAAAGAACTGTTGATAAGTTCGTTTGTATGAAATTGATCTTTGCAAACAGTTCTTGTGAATAGAACTGAATTGTTAACAGAAATGAATTCTTTAAAAAAGAACTTTTCAATAGCTTTTCTAATAAGAAGTATTATCAAACTATTACACCTCTTATTATATTGTTTTAAAATAGAAATACGATAGAAACGAAAATAAGTAGAGTGATCATTATCTTCTATTGAATAGTAAAGAAATACTTTTCATATATTTACAAGATCAATAACTCATATGACTAAGAGACAAATTGATCAATTGATTAAACAACTCTTGAATAGTTTTCTTATTCTTTATTCCATAAATTAAAAAAAAGATTTGCTTTTAATACATATATATATATTATATTTTGTTTTTTAGGTCTTGTTGAAATAATTCCAATGCCATTTGTTACTGAAACAACTAAAATCTTTCTTATCTTACCTATATATACAGATGAACAATCAATTGCAATACGTTTTCTTCGTCATGCTAATAAAACATTATTTGATAAAGAAACTCGTGATAAATTTGAATTGCTTCTTACACATGTTGTTGTAACAAAACATGAATTATCTCAAACACAAAAATGGTTTGATAATCTACGTCATGAAATTGATTTACTACATCGTACACGACCTCAATTAACAGTAACATATCATACTGTACTTTTCCCATCATCAACAATAACACGTTATACACATTCAACATATATATTAGATTTTTTTGAAACAAAACTTCGAACAAATTCCTTAATATTTTTAACAAATCCATATGTTAATATTGAATCAGACTTTTTAAATCGTTGTCGTTTAAATGTTATTGAAAATGTACAAATTTTTTTTCCTATTGCTTTTTATCAATATCATCCACATATTATAATACGTACACATCATATGACAGATAATTCTACAATTGATTTACATAAATCACATGGTTGGTTTAATTCCTATGCATTTGATCATTTTGGAATTTATATGAGTGATTATTTAAATTTAAAAAAATTAGTTTTATCAAATAATATATCATTATCATCAGTAAATCTTTATGATTTATTTGTACAATTAACTGATATACATATTTTACGTGCACCTGATCAATCATTACGTGTTCATTATAAATCAATAAAATGTGATTCAATAAAACGAACGAATATAATTGAATATAATCGATGTTTAATGCAAAGAGAAAAAGGTTTAGCATCACGTAGTCAATTGGCTATGATTATTATTGAAAATGAACCAACGAAAAAAACGACAAGAAAAAAAGATAAAAAATAAAAAAGTGCTTTTTCTTTCTTTCGTTGTTTTTTTTATTCAAATTTTTTGAAAATATTTTGTATACGTAATACTTATTATTTTTTGTTGTTTATTAAATCTCAAAATCAATATTGATGAGTTTATTTCAGTAATTAAAGTTTAAACATATTGTCAATGAGACAGTTAGAAAATAAAAAACAACTTTATCATTTCAATATTGTCTTTTCTTAATAAATAATAATCTATTGAACAAATAGATTATATAATGTTAACTGACAAGTTTTTATAAGAAATAATATTTTTTTAAAGATCTATTATCGAAAGTTTTGAGAGATGATTATTTTCAAACAAACAAGTTTAATTGCAATAAAATGCTTTAAATTTGTAAATTTATGCAAAATTGATATTATAATAAAAGTTGTTGTACTTCTAAAATAGTTCAGTGGCCAATTGACTTAAATAATACATGGCAAGTATCCGTTTATGCAGATATAGCAATAGAAAATTTATGCTTACGAAGGAAGTACCCCAGGTATCCAGTTTTATTTTGACTCATTCATACCTCATTTGATAGACTATTTTGAGGTAAGAAAAAGCCTTAAAAGGTTAGAGCTTATGGCCTACTGGCAAATAGTTATGACCATTGTACTGAAACTTTGATTGAGAGCCACTCGTTTCCGAAAAAAAATCAAATTGAAGAGTTTAGATTTGAAATTTCACCGATAAATAGATTTAATAGCTATTAGATAGTTCTGGAAGTTTCAGACCTATTTAGTGAGGGTGTGGATGTGGACTTGGAGGAGACCTACAGCCGACGTGTTACTTGTATATTATAAAAAGTATATAAAGTATGACAAACATCGTGACAAAAGAAGCATAACCTGACGAATGGCTCGTCAATCAATAGAAGAGAATGCTCCACAGAAAGAAAAATGGCATCATCTATTCACCATAACCTATTATTATGACATGCATATTTATGCTTCATTGTTCTCTCAGATGGCAATGAGAAAAAGAGATATGTATATATGAATTAACATGATTGAACTGAATGAATTAGATACCCGCATTCTCACAACCACACCCACGCCCTCGATCGATTTATGGTATGGTTTGGTAGGTTCAAAAGCGACACGTGAAACTCGAATGGAAGGCGTTGCATGGATCGCTGTTTGTCAATTTGATGGTTGGGTTGAAGACGGTTTTGTTCTAGATTGGATCATTGATATTTATATGAACCGACCAACTGGTAATTCATCTTCTTGGCTTTCCTACTACACTAATGCAACTGGGACAAGTATGCCGGTGATAAACAAAGATTTAGTTCCAACAGATCTTTACTGCCATTTGCCAACACATAAATATTTTGATATTAGCAACTTTCTCGATTTTCTTCACAAGTATCACATTGAATGGAAAAATTTTTCGCGAAGATTGGAGATATATCTTATTATTAGATGAAAATGGTACAATTAGTTCTTTTACAATGGATCTTGTAGAACCAAATGTTGCTTTGATGCATGATCGTATTGATTTTGATGTTAGTGATTTGTCATTAGAAAAAGATTGTATGAAAAAGTTAGGGACCAGAGTTGATATTCAACATAAATCCTATTTGATTGAACTAGAAACCATTGTGGACCATATCAAGAAGAAACGTTTTCAAGTGTTATGTCCTGTTGATGATGTAACGCAGCAACGTATTGACAAGATGCAAGCTCGAGGTTGGGTACAGATAGAAGAACCCGTACAGGTTATTCCTAATCCATTACTCAAACATCAAGTAGTTCTAGTTTCGTTGCCTGAGTCAACGGAACTGTAGAAATCATTGGTTCAAAAAATGCAAACTTCGATTGGACAACATGTTCGAATTGTCTTTATTGAACATTTATTGCAAAGCAATGCTCAGGTAATAATCCTAATGAACAGGAACTGTTTCATGGGACGTCAGAAATAGCAATTGATGGAATTATTAACGATGGCTTCGATGATCGATATTGGGGATCAAAGTTAAATGAGGTGAATAATAAAAGAAACTATTGATTTCTGAATACTGATTTCTGTTTCCGCTTAGGTCATGGGGCCTATTTTGCCGATAATCCAGGCTTCTCTGACGTTTATACACAACCGAATCCAATCGATCAAACATGTGTAATATATTTTAATAAAGTCACTCTGGGTAGAGAATCGCTGCTGTCAGCGATGAACCAAGATTTAATATCGGTACCAATAGGATATCATTCTTCACATGGAAAGCTTCCACACACCTCAAACTCTGATGAATTTATTGTGTATCGCTTTGGACAAGCATTACCTTATTTAAAGATTATTTATAAAGCCTAGTATCATACAGGATCGAACTAAGGGAACTATTTCTTTCATTCGCTTGTTCTTGAATTGAATAAAATATATAGATATTTAAGTTGTTCATTTTCTATCAGGTTATCGACTTGAATAAAACAAAATCGAACATTGACTTTACTTTTCATCGACACTTGATAAACGAGTGAAATTCTAAACTTTTTGTCTCTTCTTGTAATATTCATTTACGTGACCTCTCGTGCAAAACAGAATACATTGAAAATGCCATGAACGAGCAATTATCTAATGGCGAATACTTCTTTATTTGAATAATACGTTCACAAAAAAATCTATCGAATTGTGTGAAGTGATTACTACCTAGAAATTTTCGTGTCTTTATGCAAGCACAACAAAATACATAAAGACATGCACGGTCATAGTATTATTCTTATCTTAGTCGTAGTTTTGAAAGGTAAAATAGTAAGAGATGACAAGTCACGTATCAATTACAAAATATGCATACGTATTTATTAACGATCATTTGATACCGTGATGTTCGAGAACTGTTCCCGCACAGATTTCATCAACATATTTGTGTCAAATTTAAGCATAATACAAAGTACATTGTTTTAAAGAGAATATATTTTCTGTTAAGTTTGGTAATAAAAATGTTTAAGTTTTATTTAGAGACAAATGCTAAACTTAAAAAGTAACACTCTAATAAAAATAGGTTTATCATCGAGCTTTCAAAATTCTGCATTGTTTGCACTGATCCAGGGTGTGGTGGATGGTTATGAGTGGTTATGTGGATATGTGTACGAATGTAAGACAAGAGAATACAAATACTCACACCCTTATTAACAAGTCGAGAAAACACTATCGAATGATAATTGTAATCTTACCAGTGCATTTGAAATTCTCACTGACTTAGCCGTTCTCCATACATGTAGAAGCCGAAGAGTGCTTACGGCTATTCAACTTCTTCTTCAACTATTCAACTATTCAACTATTAAACTTTCAACTTTCAACTTT